GACTGCTCCGACTGAGGTTGTTGAAACTCACAACCATTGTGACCAATCAAACCTTTTTTGTGTTATAATCTTTTGCCAAAATGCTGTGTTGATTTCTAACGTTGCAGACGATCTTCTCCAGAACTTATTAGTGGATGTGAGTTGTGATGGAGGCCAATACAACTTTGTATATGCCTGTTCAGTGTTTCCTTTTTCTTTTGGTGGGACATTAACCTAGACTCTAGTGTGTCCAGAGAGGAGCTCATAACGCAGTTCTCCTCATGCTGCAATACGTGTGCTTTTTTACTGAAGAATCTAAAGACCAGAGGACTAGTATCGAACTCGAGAGTTTTGAAACATTTGTCGTCACGCCATGATTTTTAGCTGCTCTTGATTCGTGCAGGGGCACGCCTTTGCACGTTCTCTCACCCATAAAGCCTTGGTGCTACATCGATTTAAAACTCCACCTTGACTACTTTCCATATTATCGGGTTAGAAGTCTTGCCATCTCCCAGCATCTGCTCACTGTGTCTCCACAAGGCATTGCTGCTTTTATATTTATATCTGTTGTGTCCTCCCACAACGTTCAGTCTCTCCTCTTCAGTCGTGTCATTTAAGCCTCAGGTTTAACCCTCCCACTGTCTTTTTGGGTGACCTCGTGAGGAAAGTTGGCCAGAGGATTGATGGTTTATCCCTTGAGGTCCACATGGCAGGGGTGAGGTGGTGCTCACTCCTCACCCCTGCCACATGGACCCAAGGGATAAACCATCAAGCCTGCTCAATGGTCAACTTTCCTCACGGGGTCACACCCATTAGGACAGTGGGAGGGTTAACGGAGTATTTAAAAGTGTGTTGTACCCTATCACAGATGTTTTACTCGGTGGTTCTCATGCCTCCATTTGTTCCCGTGCCTCTCATCGGTTTTATCGTTTTATGTTTCAGCGGCCAAAATGCCCCCAACATCGAAGGAATGCTTTTCCTACATTAATTGCTGTTTGGGTTCCTCCTTATGCTTTTCTTAAGGTGTGTGTTTTTGTCTATTTTACAGACGTTTCATTAGAACAGCTAACAGTGGACATTTGTTTGAAATCCCAATAAGATTAAGTTATGCAAGACTTTTGTTCTTTTAAGTTTGTTCAGCAACTGTCATTTTTCTTAGTAACGTGCCTCAAACCAAGCCACTGCATGCAGTTTCAACAATGACATTTGTACAATGGAAAACTGAGCTTTAATAAAGATCTCAATGTTGAAACTTTTATTGTCCTTATTTATTTATAGTAATTCAGACTGCAAATGCTTATACTGCAGTTATAACAGCGTTTAATGTCTGGAGCCACAGGCAAAGCAAGAATTTGGTCTAGTATTTAAATAATACATTTATTTAGTCTGGCTTGCCAGGCTAACAGGCCTGGTCAATAAGCTATGAAGATCCTTTAGTTCTGATTCTAAGCTCCTTTTTATCTGCAAAAAAGTTTTGAAATCATTTGGAGGCGTACATTTTTTCTAGACAATTGATTTTGGTTTTTAAAATCTGACCGGTGATGTGTAACATTATGTTGTTTTTAAATGGTTCCAGTCAGAATTTTACAGATAAAGATTGTTTTCTCCATTTAGGGAAGTATTTGTAAACCTTGAATGTGAGGTACCTCAAGGCTCAGTTTTGGGCCTTTTTTATGTTTTAGCCAAGGATTTCATAAACCGAATGGTAATGCAGACCTTTCTCACCCATGTTTAGCCGAAATAAAGATGGCATTTTTACAGTCTGCCTCACCTAATTATGATTAGGTTTAGAGGTCATGTGAAAAAAAGCCTGGAAAAAAATGGCATCCATGGTTGAGTTTCAAGACCAAAATATCTGTTTAAAACACCAAAGGCCCATCTCACATGTTGGATGTTCAACACTTTTAGGAAACTGTTGAACTGATGAGACATAAATGTGTGCAGTCACCTTTTGTTTTTTATCTGTGCCCCAGACAAGCTGGTTCCCAAAGTCAGAGACTCTCTTGGTCAGCTTGCTTCTCACACCAAACCCTCTTGTCAGGAATGTTGGTGTGACCTTTGACCCAGCTCTCACCCTGGATTCTCATGTCAGTTCTCTTGTTCGCTCGTCCTTCTTCCATCTCAGGAACATTGCTAAGATGAGTCCCATTCTGTCTCGCTCTGAACTTGAGACAGTTATGCACACCTTCATCTCCTCACGCTTAGACTACTGTAACTCTCTTTTCACGTGTCTGAGCAGAACCTCCCTGAACCGTCTACAAGTGGTTCAGAATGCCTGTGCTCAGCTTCTGACCAAGTCCTCCAAACACACCCACATCACCCCGCTTCTCCTCCAGCTTCATTGGCTGCCAGTCAACTTCAGGGTTCATTTCAAGATCCTGGTTCTGGTCTATAGGGCCTTACATGGACAAGCACCATCTTACATTGGTGATCTTCTTAGTCCCTACACCCCCAGCAGGTCCCTGAGATCCAGTGATCAAAGCCTACTGGTTGTGCAGCACCAGGCTAAAGATCAAAGGTGACAGATCATTTGCTGCTGTGGCCCCCAGACTCTGGAACTCTCTCCCCCTGAGCCTGAGATCAGTGGACTCAGTGGTCTCCTTTAAAACGCAGCTGAAGACTCACCTGCTGAAGCTGGCTTTGGTGACCTTCATCACCATCCTCTCCTTATTCCGATCTTTCTACCTATTCCACCTGTCCTGGGATCCACTGATTTCCTTTTTCTTATTAATTTTCTCTTTCCCTTTACTCACATTTTAATCACAATTTCTACTTCTCCCATCTTTATGGTATGTTGTAAAATAATTTTAAAATATTTTAAAATTTTATTCTTGTTCTTCACTGTATAAAATATTGTTTCTTCTTCTTAAAATTTAGCTCAGGAACTTCTAGTTTTCTAATGTAATGCCATAATTATGACAAGTACTGTGCATCGCCATATTGTTTACAGAAATTAACAATGTAATACAGCCCTGCAAGTGTGTGTGCTGGAGGTTCAGGTGTGGCCGACTCTCCCTGGACTGAAAGACAAGTATGGACTGGTTTCACTCTGCTGAACAACACTCCCGGGACGCCGGCCGGGGAACCGTTTTAGAACTGTTGCTGAACTGTAATATTGATTAAAGGTTGCCACATCTGACAATTAACTGGTGGCCTGTGGCGGTTTATCGTCGGCACAGAATCATGATAAATCCTTTTTACTGGAAGAAAGAAGAAGAAATCAAAGCCTCCCAGATTGTTTCTTCTTGGACAGTTTCTAAGAAAGTTGTGCCGATGTGTTTGAGCACTTTTGATGACCAGAGTCCTGTTTGTGGTCATTAAAAGGAAGCTAAATTATTGTGGGTGAGGTCTTTTGATGGAAAGTATTTGTTAAAAACACAAAAGTCCTTATTCTGTTTTCCAATAAATACAGATTAATAAGTGCAGCTGCTTATTGCAGCCTGGCTTCCTCCTCTTTGCTCTTGCTCCGCTGAGTCTGTTAGGTTACCTTTGCAGCTCTTCCCCCCTGAGAGCCGATGAGACACCTGTCACACACCGCTGCCTTGTTCTCGGTCTTCTGCAGAGTGGAGCGCTCCCGACTGCTCTCAGTACTGACAACGCATGGAAATGAGAGGGTTTCTGCTTGGACTGTGTTGCTTTCTCTGCGTTTACCGACACGTCTCCGGAGTGTCCACCTGCAAGCTGAAGGCCACGTTCAACCTGAACGGCTACAAGAATGTAGAGAAGAAAAAGGTGGTTATTGGAGGGATGTTTCCTGTTCACAAGCGCATTGCTTCTAATAAAGGGAATACTTCAAGTCTACCAGTCTCATCGCCTTGTGATGGGTGAGTAAAACCATTTAGAATACCACAAATTGTTCAATTGCATTTAAACAGATCATCTTGAGGGGCTATCCCCATAAATGATTACACATCTTTAGATCTATTGGTTCATTTTCTTCATTGCTATCTCATGATTCTCCAGATTTAATTTCCGAACCTTCCGCTGGACACAGACAATGCTGTTTGCCATCAATGAAATCAACAAGAGAACAGACCTGCTGCCCAACACCGACCTGGGCTATGTCATCTATGACTCCTGCTTCACCATCTCCAAGGCCGTGGAGGGAACACTGACTTACCTGACGGGTCAAGATGAAGCAGTACCCAACTATCGCTGTGGCAACGGGCCACCTCTTGCTGCTCTAGTCGGAGCTGGAGGTTCGGATCTGTCCATCGCCACAGCCAGAATTCTGGGGCTCTACCATTTTCCACAGGTCAGCCACTTCAAGAAATGTAGACAATGAGAGAAATCCATGAAAAGATGATAATTTTACCTCTCATCTTCAGGTCAGCTATTCATCAACATGTTCTGCCCTGAATAACAAGTTCCAGTTCCCCACCTTCCTACGAACCATCCCTAATGACGTGCACCAGTCTGCAGCCATGGCTCAGATGGTGCTACATTTCGGATGGACTTGGGTGGGCATCATAGCTGCCGATGACGACTACGGCAAATACGGCATCAAAGACTTTAAGGAGAAGGTGGAGGAAGCTGGTGTCTGCATCTCCTTCTCTGAGACCCTGCCAAAAGTAAGCTATTTTCACCCAGGTCAGGAGAAATGCACTAAACTACCTAAGCTGGTGTGAGGACAGTGATGGCAGTCGTGGCGTCCTTGAGCAAGACACTTGACCCACACTGCCTGCTGGATGTGGTCGGGACTGGTGGTGCCAGTGTTCAGTAGCCTCGCTTCTGCCAGTGCGCCCCAGGATAGCTGTGGCCACGTTGTAGCTCATCGCCGTCCGCCAGTGTGTGAATGTGTGTGTGTGGGTGAAGGACTGGATGCAGTGTGAAGCAATTTGAAGGCACAGCACAAATACAAGCCATTTACTATGTCATGAACGTATCTGTGTGTTTTTCATTTAGGTGAACAACCCAGAGGCCATCCAAAGGATTTCTAAAACCGTAGCTGAGTCCACAGCCAAGATCATTGTGGTCTTCTCATCAGACGTGGACTTTAGTCCTCTCATCCCTGAGCTGCTCCGGAACAATGTGACCAACCGCACCTGGATTGCCAGCGAGGCCTGGGTCACCTCTGCTCTCATCAATCAGCCTGGGGTGAGGGCTTAACCAGCTGATGGCAAAACACCAATCAGCTCTTCCAGGTTCTACACACCAATTATGCCTATAAATGATGACAATCGTGTTTTCACCCAGATGAACTCGATGCTGGCTGGCACCTTGGGTTTTGGAGTGAAGAGGGCTGACATCTCCGGTCTTCGGCAATATCTGCTAAATTTGGATCCCTATGCTGACAAGCTCACTGAAGAGTTCTGGGGAACAGTGCGTTTATCTTTTGTCCACACTCACTTGCACGATCAAAACAAATCACACTATCCAGAAAAATACAAATTTTGTGATCTTAATTCTGTGTTCTAGTTGTTTAACTGCACTTTAGACTACAACACAGCACTGAGTATGGCCAAGAACACGAACAGCTCGTCCTCCAGAGCAAAGAGGGGTGTACCAGATGGCCTGTGTAGTGGGAAGGAGTCCGTGGCGCAGCTCAATAACACCTACTCTGATGTTTCACAGCTACGAATCACTTACAGGTCAGTTGCTAGCTTCCATATATTTGTCACTGTGCCTGCAGCAGTTATTGAACTGTCGTTCCTCTGAAGTGTATACAAGGCTGTGTATGCCGTGGCCCACGCCTTGCACAATCTGGAGCACTGCGAACCAGGAAGTGGTCCCTTCGTTGGGAACAGCTGTGCCAACATCTCTAACTTTGAGCCGTGGCAGGTTGATACATCACACGTTTTCTCATGTATGTGTGAAACTGCTTGTAGTTCATTCAATCTCTGTCTTTCCCAGTTGATGTACTACGTGAAGAATGTGCGTTACAAGGTGCCAAACACGGAGGAGGAGATCTACTTTGAAGATGGGGACATAAAAGGCTTCTACGACATCATCAACTGGCAGTTCAGTAGTAACGGTGAGATGCACTATGTCTCCGTGGGACACTACAACGGATCTGCAGCTCCAGAGGACAAACTTCACATCAGGAACGGCTCCATCATTTGGAACAATGACGTTTTGGAGGTCAGTTGCACCTTGATTGGGACAAGAGCTTAGCACATGTTCTGTCACATCCCTGGTACTACAGTTTTCTAATTTGTGTCTCCAAGCCTCCTCGGTCAGTGTGCAGTGAAAACTGTCAGCCTGGCACCAGGAAGGGGATCCGGCAGGGGGAGCCGGTCTGCTGTTTTGACTGCATCCCGTGTGCAGATGGAGAGATCAGCAACACAACTAGTCAGTATATGAATATTATTTCCTTTAATAAAATCTGCTAACGGAGCCTGGATAGCTGCTGCTGGTTTAAATTGACACTGTCCTGAAGGAAGAGCATTGTGCTTTCACGATTTAAAACCAAACTCTGAAAAACATGCCAAACTTTATCAGGTCAGCTGAGAACAATCAGGCATTACGTTTTTAGAGTTTAACCACAGAAGCTGTGTGTAAGCATTTTAATTGGTTTGTCTTTAAGTTCTGGGACTTTTGGCCTTTGCTTGTAGAGGTCATGAATAATTACTATCTAACCGGTTGTAGAAAACTTCCTAAAATATCTCAGTTTATAGAATTAGAAGGAACATATTATGATTTTTTAAAAAGGGATAACTGATCCTTGTCTAACATGCTCACAAGGGTTTTAGCACAAATTCAATCTCACATAACACAATTTCAGCAGTTTAATTGTTATTATTTTCAGTACCTTCCAGAATGAACCGTTTCAGGGCTCTGTCACTTTAATTAATTTATTTTTTATTTAACCTTTATTTATCCAGATGAGTCGATTGAGAACTCATTCTCATTTACGACGACGATCTGGCCAAGAGGCAGCAGCAGCAGACACATAGTGAGCTTTACATCAAAGAAAAACAGGCAAGATTAAAAATAAATATGCAAGACAAAAATAAGATAAAACAATTAAACAAAAGGCCAAAGGACTGTTCTCATTTACAATATATACAAGCAATCAAAATGGACTTTAAACAGTCTAAGTAATCAAAAGCAGACACATTAATCAGAAACTGTTGATTGCAATGAACTATTGAAGGTAGATGATAGAATGTAGGAAGTGAGATTTTTGCAGCTCATTCCAGTCGTTGGAAGCAGCAAACTGGAATGAGGAGTGGCCAAAGGATGTGCGAGCTTTGGGAATAACCATAGAGCTCAAGTTACTGGAATGTAAATTGTGCTGATTGATGGAAGTGATGAGCAAAGATATAACGGTATTTACTGATGATTGTTTAGTATATGTTTATGTTTATGTTTATTTATTTGGCAGACGCTTTTATCCAAAGCGACTTACAATTTATAACCTATAGGGCATGTTGTGATCTGTATACAAACTGATACCAATGTAACAACCTGTGGGGATGGAGTGATGGCCAGTTAACGAGTGAGTACAGATCACAATGATGAGTAGTGAAAGCGGCACCAGCGACAAAACAGATGGCTAAGTGATAAATGACATTGAGTGTATGAAGACGTTTTTTGGCAGCAGTCCTATAAATGATGTCACCGTAATCTAAGATGGGAAGGATTGTCATTTTGACCAAGCTTGCTTTGCAGACTGAGTAAAGGATGACCTGTTGCGGTATAGAAACCCAATTCTTGACTTGACTTTAGAAAGTAATGAATTAATGTAAATGTCATATGAAAGTGTGCTGTCAAGCCAGATATCCAAACACTTATAGGAACTGACAAGTTGTAGTTCTGTACCACCGAGGGAAACAATGCTAGGGTGGAAAGTTGATTGGGGTAAATTACGCCTGAAGATCATGAACTTTGTTTTACTTGTGTTTAAATGAAGATGAAGGTTGGAGAAGTCATGTTGAAGACAATTAAAGTTGTGCTGCAGGAGGACAAAGCTAGCCTGGCAAGCCAGACTAAATCAATGTATTATTTAGTTTGGCCACGCTCCATCCTCTTGGTTGTGGGGTGGGTTCTACCGTTGTCTTTCAAATGATCTCCGCATTCCACTGGACAATGAATGTGACATACTCTTGTTTCACTCTGTTGCATCATCCCACCCACTAGGCATATAGAGTGCCCTGATTGGCCCACAAAGCGGAAAAAACTCTGTGATTTGTTCACCAAGCAGATAGAGCACTATGATTGGCCCACCATTATGGACCAATCACAGCTCTTTATGTGTTTGAAACCCCTCTAGAGCGCTGTGATTGGCTAGCCAGAGTCCTGGTAGGAGCTGCGGAGGTTCCAATGGAGCATGCCTAGACCAAACTTTACAAAGCAAGAATTTGGTCTAGTTCACTAGGCTAGGACAAAGCAGCATTCAAGGGTGAACTGCATGCATATAAAATGGTGTCGTCCGCATATAAATGTATATGAGAACTGTCAACAGCATGAACAATGATTTTGAATAAGGTTGGGCCCAGTATCGACCCCTGAGGAACGCCCATACATAGAGGTAGAGGGACAGATTGCTAACCCTCTGTCCTCACTGTTTGTGTACAGCCTAAGATATAACTTCCAAACCATGCCATGGATGCCTGAGAAAGTCCTCTTTGTTTGAGTCTTCTAAGTAAGACGTTATGATCCACAGAGTCAAAGGCTTTGGCCAAGTCAACAAACACAGCCACACAATATTCCTCGTTGTCAATGACACATATGATGTCATTTAGCACTTTAAGTGTTGCAGAGACACACCCATGGCCACTTCTGAAACCGGACTGCAAGGGGTAATAATACTGCTGGATTTAAAAAAACAAGCTGAAGCTTCTTCTGGCCACGCCCACCCATCCCCTGACTGGCTGGGCATTTTTCACAAATGAAAAAGAACAAGATAAAGAAGTGCCATTTTAATTTAAAGGCATGTAAATCTCAGAACCACACTGTTTACAGGACAAACAGCTCCGGAGCCAAGCTAGCTCATGTCTAATGATGATAGAAACAGCCATTATTTCAAAGTACTTGCATCTCCCTCATCTGTTGACTTGACACAGGTACTAATGTGCATTTGATGTTCTCAAAGCGGTCCGCTTCCAAGAGGTTAGCACACATCGAAAGATTTCTGACAACTTTAGCTGAAACATGGACATTGAACATGAATTAGAGCTGCACAGTTCTCTGACGGTTTTCTTTGACTGGGGGAAGTGTAGAGATTTGTGTTTGTAACACTGAAAGAAAATAGATGGACATTTTTATTTGTGTTTGGAGTGTTTATAGAGGCAGTAGATACTAACATGGCAGTACAAAGGGATGCAAAAAGGGAGTTTTGAATCATTCGTCCCGTTTAAGACTTGCTGATTTATAAAACTGATGAGTGATATGAAGAATGCTCTGAAATTAAGCCATCAGCCATTTAAACTTTTAAAATTTGTCTTTTCTCATTTTGACAGATGCTCGTGAATGCATCCTGTGCACTGGAGACGATTGGTCTAATAGTGCTCACAATGCATGTGTACCAAAAATCATTGAGTTCCTGGCCTTTGGAGAGCCGTTGGGAATCACCCTGATTGCCATCTCAGCCTTTGGAGCTTTAGTCACCATTGCTGTTGGGGTGAGAATCACACAACATCATCAACAACATCATCACACAACATCAACAACAACATCCCACACATCTACACACATTTGTAGATCTCCTGATCAGAGTAAAACTACACATTTTCTGATGGTTTCTTTCTCTTTTGGATCTTTCAGATTGTGTTTGTTATGAACATTGGCACACCCCTGGTAAAGGCTAATGATGTCCTGCTGAGTTTCTCGTTGCTCTTCTCCCTGGTGGTGACCTTCCTTTGCTCTATCGTCTTCCTGGGAGAGCCAAAGCACTGGAGCTGCATGACGAGCCAAGTGGCCTTAGCTCTGGGTTTTGCTCTCTGTCTGTCCTCCATCATGGGTTAGTAAGGACCAGAAGTCTTTACTTATTAAGATTCAACCAAATTACAGAATTCATAGACTCATCTAAAGTTTGATGTCCTCTGCTTCAGGTAAGGCAGCGGTGCTGATGCTGAGAGCTCAATTCTTGAAAAAAGCCAGAGCCAGAGCCAAGGCAGCCGCCAAAGCTGCCAAAGCTGCAGCTGAGGCAGCAGCAAACAGTGGAAGTCCCGATGTGATTTTTACCAGCCCTAATGCTGAGTCCAGTGTTTCTGATAAACCCGAAGTTGACAGTCTCACCTTTGGCCACCAGAGGGCAATAACTGCAGCGTTAACATTAATACAGGTAAATGAAACTCCTTAAGAAAAGAGCTGCACACACACATCCCAACCTGGGCACCAAGCCTTACAAACCTTTTCAAAAAGTATATTTTATTGCATTTTCAGTTCACTGTACACCCTTCACACAGTATATTATGTTGTATACTGAAAGTACATTCTGTATAAAATCTTAATGGAACAACAGAACAATTTAACAATTTTGGTTGTGCTTCTGGCGATCCTCTCCAACGTAAGTGCATATATAGTATTGAAGGCAATATTCACATAGACACATTTAACAAAACTTTGAGTAAGAAGTCCCTGAATTACACCTTACTTTTGCTCCTCCCATTCCAGTCTAAATGCTGGCCAGAAGACCGGTTATTTTCCTACTCTCCCACTTTATAAGTCCTCAGATTTTTAAGTCCATCCTCTTAATATATGTTAGTAAAGGTTGTCCATATTTCGTCAAATAAATGTTGCTTGGCCTTTAAGATATAGGTAATCCGTTCCAGCGGCATCACCTGTAACATCTGTTTCATCCAATCCTTCACAGTGGGCCTATGGAGCGATTTCCATGCCATAGCTATACACTTTTTTGCTACCATTAAACTAAGATCCAAAAAGACATGCCGACACTTGCAGACTTACAAACCTAATCATGAAATGTCATTTTCTCTCCAGGCTATAGCATGCACAGTGTGGCTCATCATCCTCCCTCCACATCCCGTTAAAAACACTGCTGCCCAGAATGTGAAGATTATTCTGGAGTGTGATGAAGGCTCCATTGTCTTCATCTGTTGCATCTTCGCTTATGACATCCTGCTGGCTCTGATCGCCTTTATCTTTGCCTTCATAGCACGCAAACTGGAAGACCACTTCAGGTAGCTGATGATTAGTAGGAGGCTTTTGTCTGTTTTAATAATTTTTGTTTTTACAGAATCTTTTAGCCATTCTGAAGTGTTTTTTTAATTAAAGTGTGAATAATTACAGTTTTATCTACATTATACAACTACCTAAACGGCCTCAGTTCAGAGAATAAGAGATTTCTTCCTACAAGGCTAATGAGTTAATAGCTTGTCTGAATGTAGCAAAGACCAAGTATAACACTGTCCTCCTAAAGCATCGGTTCATGTAAACATTACTTCAAAAGCCTTCACATTCTCAGTTTGACACCACAGTTACTTTGGCATAAATATAAAGAAATCCCAGCCAGATGTTTGAAGACAGCACTACGAGCTTTGCTGTGCTGTTAGCTCATCAGCCCTGCTGGATGTACACTCTCCTCCAAACACAGGCCATTCAGGAAGCCATCTAACTTTTACAAAAATCCCTATAATCTGCAGAGCTTTACATATATCTGCCTTTGTGTTTTTATTTTTATCCTCCAGTGAGGCGAAGTGTATGACCTTCGGCATGCTGGTCTTCTTCATTGTGTGGATCTCCTTTGTCCCGGCTTACCTCAGCACACGTGGAAAGTTCATGGTTGCAGTCCAGATTTTTGCTATCCTAGCTTCCAGCTTTGGCCTGCTGGCCTGCATCTTCCTCCCCAAATGCTACGTCCTTCTGATCAAGCCTGAACGCAACAAAGAGGAGCTGATGAAGCCTCGTCCTAAACCTCGTGATGGCACCTCTACCGGGACTTCTGCCTCTCTCGCCACAGCTGCTACTGAGGTTACAACAGCTATTGACTAAAATTCATCCGCATAAAAATGATGAAAACAGAAAGAAGACACACTGGTTTTATTTCTGTTATTGTGTGTTAAAAAATTACAAATACAGAAAAAAATCTGTAGTGCAAAAGGAAATTTTTATTTATATGAGCTGCTTTAGGGAGGATTTAAAAGCACAGGATCAGTGAAACCGCTGCCTTAGCAACAAATAAAAACGATCAGGAACAAGGTTAATGTCTTTGTACAAAGCTAAATACTGTAATCAGTTATTGTTTTATAGAAATCCATCATTTTTACATATCTTGTTTGCTGTGATGTTTTCAAATCCAGCAACAAGAATTTCCCTGTAAGATTTAGCCACTAATGCTTTTGCTTCATATTGTTTCCTTTTCAAAGCCCAGACTTTAAATTTGCATCATTGTTGCTCATTTCTTTCTAGAATTTGCATCATTGTTTTGCCTCATATTCTTAAAATCTTCATAATACATAATCTTGTAATTATTGGTGAAAAATGCCTTAATGTAATTTTTATGCTTTGTATGTTTTGACATGCTTTTGATCCCAAAGCAACAAATATTTTTTCCTCTGTTTTGTATAGAAGATTTGTTACTAGAAGTATTTGCAGCATTATTTTGAGTAAATCAATCTTGGATATGTTTGGTTTAATTCTTCGATGGTCGCCCGCTCAGTGGACCTGGCTAACTAAAGATCAAACCACCACCAGAGGGGAGCAGACACGTATAGGACTAGGTATGGTTTTTTATGAAAGTACCAATCCCAATACTTTATTTGGATGGATAAAGATATGGCATATTGTCAGTTTTGACCGGCGGCGGCACGTGGTTTGAAGGAGAGGCAAACATATAAATCAGGTTGAGGTGGCTTCATTGCAGCATGTCTTGTCACCAACACCAACAACTAACACTAATACTCACTGCCTTTTTATAACCAAGTCCTCCTCCTTCCGGTCGGTAACAAGATGGCGCCTGTGCTTGGCTTTGCCGTGGTCATCGGCCACTTTTTCAAACTTTTCTCCACTAACCTCCTCTTTTCCACCTTGCTCCTGTCTGCGATCCTCTTCAGCAGGGCCGTGCAGAGACCTTTGATGGGGCGGGTGCTCAAAGTAAAAAAAAGGGGCATTTATAGAGCAATCCAATAAGTTAGAAAATTCAGATAATGAGACCCTTGGGTTCAAACAACATAATAAAAATATATAAATTAGTGTCATTAGTGTTAATGTTAGTTCATGAATAATAGTTTTAGTTTATAAAGCTGACTTATACCTAGAGATGTTACAACCACATTTCTGCCCCTGATCCGAGTCCAAGTTGTTTGATTTTTGATTATCTTCCAATACTGAGTCCTGTTCTGATATCAGGTGGTGATGCAACACATTATAAAAGAAGAAATAAGTCGTCCTTCTGTCTGTATTTGTCATTTTGTTATTTTAGCCTGAAAAGGTCACTCATTCAGGAAGTACATGTAACAGAAATCAAGATACTTTATTGCTATTGCACAGGTGTACAACCAAAGACATTTTGTGCTTTCTAAAGACAGCTCTAGTAAGAGGTAGTAAAATAAATGTAAAATAAATGCAACCACAGAGACTTATCCATGTGATCTACAGCTATGTTAGCTGAGATCTTTTTCCTGTCAGTAGAAAATTCTTGATCCCATTCCATGATCTCACTGAACTGAACACTAAACATGAGAGCTCTGCTACCAACCTAACAACAACACCCTTTACACAAAGGCACCATCATCACATACGTGGCAGGAGTCTCAGAGAAACTTAGAAGAATCTTCTCCAACCACAACATCCCGGTAAACTTTAAACCCAACAACACCCTCAGACAGAACCTGGCCCATCCAGAAGACTAAACACCCAAACAGAAGCTCAGTGGGGTCGTTTATGCAGTCCAGTGTTGGAGCACTGCCCAGATGTTTACATTAGAGAAACTAAACAACAAGTACACAAGAACATAACACAACACAGGAGAGCCACCTCTTCAGATCAGAACTCTGCAGTCCACCTTCACCTGAAGGACAAGGGACACACCTTCGAAGATGACAAAGTCCACATTCTGGACAGAGAAGATAAGATGATTTGAGAGAGGAGTAAGAAGCTATCTATGTCAAAATGTGAAAAGCCCACTTTACATAGGGGCGGGGCTTAGATTTCACCTTTCCAGTACCAATAATGCAGCTTTGGTCAAGGTCAAGGTCAATTTTACTTACAGAGCACATTTACAGCAGCAAAGCTACACCAAAGCGCTGTACAAGGTAAAACAAATCAAGACACAACAAATCAACAATAAAAACCTAAAATAAGATGAGCACACAACAGTCACAATCTGTGATAAAAACTGTTAAAAACTATTAAGATGCTCAAGTCAGCCTGCATTAAAAGCCAAATCAAAAAATTGCATCTTAAGAAGGGATTTAAAATGCTCTGGATTCTGTGTGGTCCTGATGTTGAGAGGTAGCTTGTTTCACAGTTTGGGACCAACCACAGAGAACGCTCTGTCGCCGCGAGTTTTGTGGTGGGTTTTTGGAACTGTTAAAAGAGCTTGAGGCAGGGACGTAAGCGGACAGCAGCTCAGAGATGTAAACTGGGGCCAGGCCATGAAGGGATTTAAAAACAAAAAGTAAAAATTTGAAACGGATCCTGTAAGAGACAGGAAGCCAATGGAGAGAGGCCAGAACCGGGGTTATGTGATCCCACTTGCTGGTTCCAGTCAGCAAGCAAGCCGCTGCATTTTGGACCAGCTGAAGTCGGTGTGGGGAGGACTGGTCCAGGCCAGAATACAGGGAGTTGCAGTAGTCCAATCAGCAGGACACGAACAGGTGGATGACATGTTCGAGGACATTAGCAGGAAGGTATGGCTTCACCTTTGCTATCTGCCTTAAATGATAAAAACCTTATTGGACCACTGCACTCACCTGTCTGTAAAGATTAAAAGAACCATCTAAAAACACACCACGGTTTTTAACACCGGGTTTTAGAAAACCAGAACAAGGACCAAGAGGACCAACAGCGTTGTTTAAAAGATTAGAACTTTTTTTTGAATCTCATTCAGTTTCAGTCTAGGTCACACCTTCCTGCATCTAATCAACACGATGACTCACCATCAATAGAGGCTAACGACTCATCAGGAGATGGAGAGGCGGGGTACTCAGAGTAGTTTCTGCTCTTTAAATAACAACAGACAGCTACAGCTTATGAGCTTGACTCTCCCATATTCCAGTTAGAACTGACAAAGCTCCTCAGAGGAGAAGTGAAATGTTTTAAAGAAACCAAAGAATTCCAGCTGCCTTCATCTGAACTCTATGGAGTAATAATCAATAACAAAAAATACATAATAAAGTAATAAAACGTATATAATTATGCTCACATTCACTTTTACCATCTCTGTTGGAGGCAGAAAATTTATCACGTTTAACCCTCTTATGACCATAAATATAACAAGTATTTTTTCTTTGTTTTATGTTTTTAAAATTGTAATAAAAGTGTAAAATGTTTGTAACTCTGCTCCTTTTTTCAGAACAACCTCAGCTTTCAGTGTCTAGTTTGTATTTGTGTTTATGTTTATTAAAGTCTGTAAAACTGCAGCTTAAATGAAAAAAAAAACGGATTTGAATTTTCTTTACATTTATTACTAAACAGGAACTTCAAAATGACGAGCAAACTATGTCAAAAGAACTACCGGTATTTAAACTCAGAACTGTAATGCAAACACTCAGAAAACAGTGTGACCCCTGACCCCATGTTAACCAGTTTAATGACTGCAGCCTGTCTGTGACCACAGGTCTACGCTCTGGTCCAGAGAACGGGATACAGTAAAATAAATACTAGGTATCATAAGATAACACTCATGGGCTACTTCACAGCTGTAGCTACATTTCTACCAGCATTATGAAGATCAATAAGCAGATAAAAGGTTAAATCTAAACATTTCATTACAAAAAGTCAACTGATAAAATTCTGCACTGATAAAATTATATTTTCAGCTAAATAAATATTTATTGTGCGTATAAATAATGCTGGAATGAAGCTGAATCATTTAGTAAACAGTTGAGTGTTCAAATAAAAACCAGTGTGACTGTTATCTGTCCCTCCTCATGTCACCATCTACAGAAACAGCCTTCTGGGACACCTGACCAACCAGGTGGATTTTATTTGTGACGTTTCCATAACTTTATAAAAGCTGCTGATGAAGATGATCAGATCATCTCCTCCTTTCGGTTCTCTGCTCTCCCGTCGCGGTTCGCTCCGTTTCTTTCTGTGACGCTGCAAAGCTGGTTTCCTTCTAGTAGCCATAGGCGTCATTTTAACCGGGGACGCCGGGGACATGTCCCCGGCAAAATTTGTGATGGGCAGCTGTGTCCCCCCCACTTTCAAAAAAGCCTGCTGATGAGGATTTTTGTTTTACCAGCTCAGATCTCATGGGGGGATTCAACACCCACACTTTTCCAGCTGTTTTGCTCACCTCCACACCAGTCTGGTTTCTTTACGTCGCACTCACTCTGCTTGCCTCATCTCCTTCTTCCCCTCCCTCTTCTGACAGCCGATGTCGGGTTTCCAGGAGAGCAGGAGAGGGAGGGACGGAAGAGCTCGACTGAATTCATAATTTTGCATCTTGACATTAGCTGTACAAAGTCTGAGTTTGATAAAGTGAAGAACAACAATTTGCAGGGGTTTATAACAGGCGCAGCGCCAGGTTTTCATTTTTGTGTGGGCCACGGTAATTTTGGACGGACCTTAATAAGCAGTGACTAAGTGAAGCAGGCAGGTCGCGCCAGAAAATTTCGTTTAAAAAGACGTCATAAATGTGCTCCCCCGTCATTTTTATTTATAAAATATGAAGTAAAAACTCCCAATTTAATTTTCATTCATTTGTCATTAATATTTAGTCTACACCCGTGCGTTAAGTGGACCATCTTCCAGTAAAAGCAAAGCATCCAGCCCACCTCTCCAAATGCGTAAAATGTGCATCAGCCGCTAGTTAGGCGCGCCGCGTGCACCATCAGCTACGTCAGCCCAGACAAGAGCAGAGCAACTAGAGAAAGAATAGAGGATAATTCTGTCTGGATGTGGATGAAGATTACATTTTACAGCAGCCTGATCATCATCTAAATACGTAAACCATCACCTGTCTTCTAGTCCATGCTATCAGCATTATTTTAATTGGTGTGTGTGTGTGTGTGTGTGTGTTTTCCACTTCAAACACTGGTCTAACCAACCAGACCAGCATGTCCAGTAACATATTAATGTTACAATTAAACAGTTTCACTCATGTAGGCTAGGAACATTTCACCTGCCGTGGCCCGACCGCTTCTGCTCCACATAAACTTTGTGCATGATCAAATGTCTCTACAGGTGCTTGCTGAGCTGAAGAGCTATTCTGCCTCAGACTGGATGCGTCATGCGTGTCCATATGAGATGGGAACAAGCGCTATTCGCCAAAGTTTCATAATTTCATAAAAAGAACATTTTTCCAAGTGACACATCCCTCAGAGAGACCGGGTTTCCAGACCGCTTCAGTGGGAGGAAATCTTATCGCATGCACCGTGGTTCTGCACTGTGCTGCGAACCCCTCTGCAGATCTTCAGCCCACTGTCCACCGTGGGCGCTCCGAGCCGTG